AGAGAGAGAGAGAGAGAGAGAGAGAGAGAGAGAGAGAGAGAGAGAGAGTTGTTATGACTTTAAATAATCTGAACATAATCTAGGCAATTTGCCTATAGATGCTGCTAAAGATAGTATTGAGGTGAGGCAGTCAGGGGCTCTCAGAGCAGAGGGTGTGGTGCCGGCATGAACGGACAATGGTTTAACATTCCTGGCCCGGTGCATTAGTATCAGGCGGACTGGGAACAGACTGAGCAATATCCTGCAGGACATTCCACAGTGTGGAGAGCTACAGGAAGAAATCCTCTGCTCACAAGTGGGCAATGACAGACATGTGAGGAGGGTTATGCAGAGTGCAATGAAATGAAAGGAGCGACTTTCAAAATACCCATCTATCCTTGTTGGAATTGTGCACAACAGGGATTGTTTTTAGTTTCTATAAATATTGAGGTGTGGTAATCTGGTGTTTCTTTTAAGTAGTACAGCACAAAGTCAGGTTCGTGCAGCTTCCAGTTAAAGCCTCAAACTTGGTTCAGTATCAGAACAATGACCGGGGTGTCTGGCGGCCAAAGTACTTCTGTGTCCTGCCACAAAATAACAATCACTGAGGTGAGTTCTTAAATACAAAGCTCCAATCTGTATTTTCTCTATTGGCAATGGATCAACTGAATACGCGCAGTGTGAAAGGGGTCTCTCATAGTGAAGAACCCGCAGAGAAGCACCATCCAGCCCTGCAAGTCCCGTAATCATTATAGAGGTTTTTTAGCCACTTTTAGCTCTTTGTTTTGGTTTTTCAGCATATTCTCCTCTCAAACCTGCCGCCGCACATTACCCAGCACCAAGCAGCAGACAAAGATGTTGAATAATCTTCAAAAGCTCTACGTTCTCATCCCAAAGCTAAGCATAGATTCCTCTTAAACATAAATACCTGGTATTTTATCGACTGTTACTGTTATGAAGACTCTTCCTCTGCATGAAAAAATATTCTGTTCACCCCTTTTTCCAAAGTCGCGACTCTTTTTCTCTATCCAGGTCGCCGGAAATTACATTTTTTATGACAAATGAAAAATGTCAAAGTGTTATTTTTGTATGAAAATATAAAATAATAGGAAGGTTAACTGATAATAAAAGTATTACATTTTGGTTTACGTCATACAAATTGAGCACGAACATGCTATGGGATTTGTATGGATTGAGAAAAAGAGATGCAACATATCATTTTTGGCGTGCAGCAAATTGAATATTGTTTTCATTAGGATGTAAGAAGAGCTTTTTGATGTTAATACACTAAAGGCACAAACTGAGGCCGGTGGAGACCAAAGCTGAGCTAAAATTAAAGTAAATATTGGTCGTAGATTCATCAACTCCCAATAACTGCTGATGTTGCTCCGTGTCTGCTGAATATGTAAACAGGGAATTGTCTGCTGTCACATTAGTGTGCAGAAATAATTCTGTGTAATAAACACATAACCTCTGTGCTGAACAGAACACTCAACATGTTCATTTGTATTCCAATTCATGCTTCGTGTCTTTTGCCGTCTGTATTCTGCAAAGGTGATCATTATCTTGAGAAACAATTAACCTTTCAAAACATGATTTATCTTGTTTACTTTTGGCAAGTAAAGTTTTCATTAAAGGTGAAAGAAAAAAAAATTGTTTACATCCTCACAAGTCTCTGCAGGTTTGTTGAATAAGGCTGTAACGGTGTAATCTAAAACTATAAGGCGTGTGAGGTTTAGCACTCTCAAGTTTCATCTATTCATGGTTCCATCAAAGCAATTTCTTAAGTAAATACAACAGCATGTTCCTCTGTGCGTGAACATGTAAAACAACAGCCTGTATGGTGTAAGATTGTTTAAACAGCAAGTAATGAGGAGCCAAACACTCTGCCTGAGTAGGTGTTCAGTAGGATTAAGAGTGAGAATGGAAAAAGAAACTTCTTCATCTTCAAGTTCTGTAAGTAGTGCCGAGGGATGGGACACAACAAAGTACATTTACTCAAGCACAGTTTTGAGGTGCTTGTACCACATTCCAGATAGAAATATTGCTTTTCCCTCTTGTCCGACAGCTATAGTTACATATTTGCATAAATATTTTATATACGAAACATATGACACGTTTTTCATTTAGCGTGTTGGTAGATTACAAAATAAAGCAAAATATAGAAATATAAAGTGGTTATTTAGCTCCAACTAGATGGGATACGACATTACCAAGGCATATAAAAAGCTTAAATTATTATTTTGTAATAAACTGTACATATTAACAACATTCATAGACAAGCCGTTCAACAAGTATTTCTGACTTTTGATACTTTCAACCTGCAGTAACTTGTTTTTGGCCACTTGGGGGCAGCAGAAACACACTGTAAACACCACACCAACATATTATCATCTTTTAAAGTGCATAATGACAATCACACAGCCAGCAGACTCAAAGCAATGTTAGCATTCATTTGATGTTATAGAGGTCAAATAATCACGCTCTTTTTAGTTCTGTTTTGTCATCCTCCAAATCCTCGAAACATATCAGAAAAGTATTGATTAGGTATATTTTGCCAATACATCTCTATTTAACTTATGTAAATGCAGGACATTTTGCTCTTAATAGTTTTACTTTGTTGTATTGCTACTGTAAAATGAGATCATTTTTGGGAATATTATCAAATGTCTTCGATTAACATCCAGCAACCCTCGATATGTATCTTTGTTACATTATAAAGTCTACTATACAACTACAGGTTGGCGAGGTAAGATTAAACGAAGTCATCGTAACTCTAACTGCCGACATAGTGTAGAGCGTGCACAGGTGGTGTTGTTGTAAATTGGATTAAAGTAAAATATGCCCTGTAGCTTATAAATCATGCTGACATCTGTTCAATAAAATACAATACAAAGAGTTCATCATCGAAACCATCCCACATCATTATTGCAAGTTGGATCTCATCTCTACCAGCATTTGCCGACCTTTAAATCTCAACTGACAAAGACATTCTTCTTAACTGCTTTAGAAAAATGATAATTGTCTCCGTCAGAGCCAACAAACCAAATGTCAGAGAGCCTTGCCTGAGTCTGATGATTCTGTGGGACAAATGTGAGAAGACAGCACTTGATAGCCAACAGTGCGTTGGCATGATTAGGCATTTGATTTTGTAATCTAGCCAATTTCTACCACAGAGAGTCACTTGTCGTTTGACGTCTCGTAGTACCGGTTTCATCATGTCAAGTTGACTTAGATTACATATCTAGCTCAATTCTCAGGAAACCAAAAGGTTATGAACATTATCTATTACTTTTCTTGACATAAGAGTTCATTTATTAGTAAAATAAAAGGAACATTTTCAGTTTAAATATTTTTTTAAATCCTGTATTTGTAGTTTTATGCACAATTGAGAAAGAAGTGTCACTTTGATTCAAGATCTAATCGTGAGTTAATCGCCTTGTTTCTTGATTTCTATTTTAAAGAACTAATTTGAAGCACAACTTCTAGAAAATCTGATTTTTTTTTTTTTTTAAATGGTGACTTCTGTTCCTTTGAGACACTAATTTGAAGTGTTCTCACGCTTGACTGAGTGAAACGTCGTCGTCACCTGATGTCGTTGGGTATACCTGGGAAAAACGTTTAGACTAACTGCACATTAGTCAGACTTCAGTGTCGTCAATAAAATGTGACTAATGTCTCCGCATCTGGTTTATGCACTAATAAGACATGTTCTGTGCTGTCTGTTTTGTTTCACAACACTATAATCCTCCCACACCCCCCGAGGGAAGTACCCATACAAAGACAAAGTTCTCTGTAATCATCAACGCATCCGGCTCTGCTTGTCCCACAAGATACGGAAGATTATCACCTCACTTTTAGTATGTAAAAGACAAATCATTTACTGTGCATCAATAAAAGACGAGGGTTTAAGACACCTGTGTTTGACCCAGAACTAAAACTTAAAACTTTTTTTTTACACAAGTAACAATACATTATCTGAGCTTCAGTTACATTATTGTCAGTTTAATTATCTGCTCACCTATAGCACAGTAAGAACGGGCCAATTTGCTTGCTTGTTATTGTCTAATAGCACAATGGACATGCTCTTAGGAAGTCTGCAGGAAGTTTTGGCACCCTGAGCTCAGTCTGAGGACAGGAGGCTGTTGGTTGGGAGGGGAGGGACTTAACAGCTGGACCTGCTGTATATGAGTCCGGTGAGCACAGAGGACTACCGCTGAGACGTTGGGAGCACATCAAGGTCCCAATCCCTCTCACACCGGCGGACACTGACTGCTAACCGGAGTGGGACTTTCTACAAACGTCAGGTAAGAGCAAAATACTGTATTATTTGAAGATTGGTGATTGGAAATTCAATATTTCTAAGTTCTAAAGAAAATTGTCAAAGAAAAGCTAATTGTTTTAGTGAAAGTGTTGTTTAATCCAGAGTAAAGAGCACATTTAAGCTGCAGCTTAGTTTGCTTTGGAGTGGGACCGCATAGTGTTGAAACAGCCAAAAGGGAAAAAAAAATATTGTGTATCAGCCAACTCCCTTCTGATAAAAAGGGAAAGCAAACATTCCTCACTGATTACCTTTGACCACACTTGTTAAGATATAGTTTTACACATAGCCTGTGTGTCACCGTGAAGGCTTTTGACAAGACTGAACATTGTGTCTACATTCCCCCTCTGGGCTGTTGGCACACATTAATGGCAATCCAACATTTTCCACAGCGACAGAAAGTATTAAGTAACAATTGATACTCCATTGCCTCATTCATTCCTGTTTCTTTTACTGCTGAGATGGTGTCAAGAATGCAATGATAAAGACTTGGGCGTCATATACATGATGCAATGTATATGACGTGTGCTGTGTGAGATCCAAAGGGGGAGAACAGCGAGGCGGTTTGCAGCGTGGTGTCAATCTTAAAATTGGTCTAGATCAGATTGTTGGATCGGATTATTGCACACATAAATATGTTTATAAGGACTTATAAGGTCAAGTGTTATAATACTTCATAATTTCTGTTTACTCACTCATAGTGTATTATAATTCACCAACGTGTAATACATTATGATGTTCTTATAATGCATTACAGTGTGATTACAAGTTACTCTAAGTCAAGGGTGTCAAACTCATCTTCACTCTGGGCCACATCAGCATCACGGTCGCCCTCAAAGGGCCGGTTGTAAATGTAAGACTGTAAGACTGTATAACTGTAACTACTCCCTAACATATTGTTAAATAACTCTCTCTGCATTTGATTATTGTTTATTCAAGTGTTAAAATATTGTACATGCAGTTATAACATAAATCATTTTAATTTAGGGTTAAGAAACCCACATTAGTCTTTCAAAGATCAAACTCTTAAAGAAAATATCAAAGACAAATATCATCAAACACAAGTTATTACATTAACTTTGTTCAAAGCTATTTTTGTCACCTCTCTGCATCACTAATGTCCCTGTCGTTGTCCCGTGCATGGCAGCTACATCCAAGAGCTCCTCACTGAGAGTCAGGTTTAATAACCATGGATAGATGCTCTGTGTCCATGCTTTCATCAACAGCTAATGAAGAAGACGAGTACCTGCTCGTCTCTGAGCTAGCTGTGTTGTTAGATTGCTGCTAGTTCCTGAACTCGGTCTGCGATGGTGTTTCTTCACAAACTGACATTTGTAAAAGTCTGTATCTGGTCGGAGCTCACCTGCTCACATACCTTTAGCGTGCACTGGGCCTTAACTTTTGTAAATATATTCTGCTGTGATTGCAGTCTGCCTCTTAATTCTTGGACAATTTTATGTTTTTCTTGGAGGCTAAATTTAGCTCTGTGTTTGGTGTCAAAATGCCGACGTGAATTGTATCCTTCATCACCGACACACATAACACAGAAGACAGACCCGTTTTTCTCCCTGAAGCACAGACATGTATTCGCTTTCCCATCTTTCATTACATTTTCTTCCCTCTGCATCAATTTTTCTCTTCGTGGACATTTTGGGATTATTTGTCGATCTTTTTCAACTCAATCACTTGTTGGAAAACCTCTTTACGGGCTGTTCCCTCTCCTGTCCACCTGTTGTGATAGTTTTAATGTCGGTACACAGACAACATGCTATCTCATAATTTCAACTTTCTATCTCATAATTTCGACCATGGGGATACTTTTATTTTCAAGTCTAACTTTTAAATTTTTTTCCAAAAATAAAAAAAAAAAAAAAAATATTTTTTTTTTTTTTTTGCTGGCGGATTCTCGGGCCACATAAAATGACGTGGCGGGCCGGATTCGGCCCGCGGGCCTTGAGTTTGACATGTGTGCTCTAAGTGGTCATTGTTTGCTTTAAGTAAGGTGAGTAAATATATAATTAAACCTGCGTCACATTTACATTTCACAAATGTATTGTCTTCCCAAAAACTCACTCTAAGGACTCAAAATATAGATAATACTTGAAAACCATTCTATTTCCTCCAGCTGTATATAACGGCTCATAACTGGTTAGGTCTCAAATAATGGCCCGTTATATACAGCTACAGTACATGTACGATAAAGACAGTAGTTTGAGTCAATTAAGTGTTTAGTTTTTTGGGGAAACGTTATATTTGTGAAATGTAAATGTCCATCATTCAGTTGTTCATCATTAAAAGTTGAGGCAAATTGACTCGATTTCTGACCCATTAATGACCCATTAATACATTCATTTTACAACGCTGTGTGGTGTTCTTGCATAGATTTAATGTGATCTTTTTTCACTTTATTTAAAGCAAACAATGACCACAGAGAGTAACTTATAATCATATTTAATGCATTATTCGAAGATTATAACGTATTACAACAATGATCCAAATGTCCGTGAGTGACCAGCAATTATGAAGTATTATACTTGACCTTATAAAATGTGTTATGGCTATTGTTATTAAGAATTATGATATATATATATATTTAAATATATTTGTGAAGGCTTATAACTTTCATTATACAGTGTTAAAAAGCAGATTATAATGCATTATATGTATGTTTTTATTGGGCGTCATAGAAAGAGTTACCGCTCTTTCCTTAATTAAACTATCTATCTAATATCTGATCAAAGTTAAAGGTAACCAGATTTTCTTTGTTGGCTAAAAGGATTAGTGAAAACACCTATAATCTTTTCTGTTGACAATGTCATGGAAGTGCTAATTAAATGACATGTTTTAGCACTTTGGTGTTGTACTGGACTGCATTATATTTAGAGGTGTTTGAAATATTCTGCCCCCCTTCATGTTTGTACAAGAAAGACGTCACAACATAATGCTGTCCAGTTCAACACCACCTTTAACTAGGACCTCAATAAAACACCTGTAATTGAACAGACACGTTTCTGACAATGTCAAAGTGGAACATTAGGAGTTAGATATTATGACGTTATGGCAGATCTGTTGTACTGTGCTGCACTAAATCATACATGGTGGCCACTTCTTTTCACGACAAAAAGAAGTGTAACACTGCTTCATTGTCACTGCCTCCTCCGGGGCAGGAAAGTATATTTGATTAAGTACATAAAGCGAACAGTAAACAGTGAAGCTATGGTATTTAAACAACTCTGAAGCTTCATGCAGGTGATGCATTTGTTTTTACGATGTGATGAGCGAGCTCACACGGCGTAATAAATGCAAAGTAAATGTTCAACATCTCTATAAACATTCAAACATTTGCAAAGTGGGTGACGGTCTCAAACAGCACATTCAGCAGCTGCAGGCAGAGATACTGCTGCACTGCATGACTGCTGTTGTAGGCTACAGATACATGTGATGTTGTACCCTTACAGGTGTCGCATCGCATGCAGTGAAAAGCAGTACACACCTTTAGTCCACTGAGATTAGGAATGACAGGAGAGACCCATTTTTAACTAAAAGGTGCTAATAGGCTACTGTGCAAAAAGGCTTGAGCGGCAGTTGAGTGATTTCCATCTCATGCAGTGAAGCTAATAATGGTGATTTTCTGACAGAATTCCCACAGTAAGTAACATATGGAGCTAATAATGTAAATAATAGGGCCTTGTCTGGCTTTGCCCTTTCAGTTGTGCATTAAAACGTGTGCATTAAAAGTGAGAAATTTTCACTCCTACTGGAAGCAATGACATCATATAAAACACAACTGTTAACCTTTGCACAGAAGGTGTGGAATGAGCCGCCAGGTATTCTCCTTACTTGTAAGAGATAATTTAATAGTACTGGGGGTGTACAAAGCTGCGTTCTAGAGTTGGATTCTGATTATACCTCACAGATGTATTCACTGACTTGACTGATTTTAGCCATCGCAGCCGCACGTAGTATGACTCCAATGTTAGAGTTTCCACCCCTTTGAAGTGGCTATAACCAATACTTTCATATCAATACTGAATTGCATAACTACTTGCACATAAAAGGAAATGCTCTTAGTGAAAATTTGCATCTTTAAGGAGCATTTTAGCATCTTGTTCTGCACATATCAATGTTGTTGCAGCTGCAGCAGGCTGTACAGTACCTGCCCAGCACTAAACAGTGTACAGACAGTTAGCAACTAGCTGGTGAACATTGTGGAGCATTTTGCATCTAAAGAGCCAGATATTTCCCTCAGGAGGTGGTGGAGGCCAAAAACAAAGGGTAAAAGGAGGGTGAACATTGAGAATTGTAATGCCGAGGTTTAAAGGCTTAAGACTTGCAAAGTGTTGTAACTGTTGTTACAACACAGGGCATCTGGCTGTTCCAGTTTTTAAGCAGTATGTCTCATAATGCCAAAGCAAATACAATGATGCTTGTGAAAGAAGTTCATGAACTGGCAGAGTTCATGTCTAATCTGTGCACGGACGGAAATGAAAATTTGACCTTGATTGCAATATATATTTTTATCTATAATCTTCGTCTTTGTTGATTATTAATCTGATATTGTGTGTATCAATTGAATTTGATGGTCTTGCTTTAAAACAAAGAACATATATAATATAAATACACAGGTGCAATAAATACTTAGAGTACATGATAAAAAACAACAACTAACATCATAAAATAACAACGTCAAATGATAAACATGCTTATGAGGAAGAGATTTGATAAACAAAATGTTGTTTACTTGCTTTATCGCTACAGGAAGGGAGTTTCATGACCATATATGCCCACATCCTGGATTTTGGAAAGGAAACAGAGCACCCGAGGATCTGAGGCTGCCCACAGACTCATAACGAAACTGAAAGGTTTGGAAGACAGATCTCATCTTGTAAAAAAAACATCTTAGGGCTGCAAATCAAGTTCACTTCCTGAACTTTAAGGGAAACAAAAAATCATTACTTGGATGTGATCAAATTATGATTTACCGTTGTATTTTCTCTCACAGACTGGTGATTTTAAGGCATTACCTCATTATTTTGAAACTTAATGGGCTCAAACTGACAATAACATTTTACCTTCAGTATTTTGCTGCATTATATTACATATTCCCTTAAGGTCTAAGGTGGACAGATTTGTTTTAAGAACATTTGCATTCCCTGAAAAAGTGTTTGCATTATCTTGACAAAAATAATTTAAAAGAAATAAAAGTAAGCTGCAGTTCTAAATCACTATAAGACAACCAAAGTAACCATAGTGTTTATATGTTTAAAATGCTTTGAAGTTGTAGTGAGCAGCTGTGTTCAGTCATTTACGAAGGGTTTACAGGTTTTTAGGTAATTTAGGCATTCAAACACTGCAATGGTCTTGAATTATGACTTCTACAGACGATAAATAACTGACTGAGCAAAATCCAAATTCTTAGCCAACCAATACAAGCTTGGAATCAGACAAGCTTTGTCTTTGATGTTAACGTGTACAAGCAGATATGGAGGGGTTCAGTAATCAGCGCCACAATGAAACCTGGTTTTACAATTAGTGCATGATTAAAAATAAACAGTGTCAACCATGCAAAGCTAGCAACATAACACTGTGTGAAGGAATGAAAAGATGCAAACCAACTGCAACATGATGCAAAATATTAAAAAGAATCCCCACAGCCAATACCCTAACATTTGATTAGATATATAGGTGGACCGTACTGTCTATACTAAAAATGGAAAATTTTGAGACTGTAGTCAGAGGTGATGTTGAATAGCATTGATGTATTAGGAGAGATTTTTTCGAAAATAGTATACTTTTATTTATACAAAGTAGAAGCACCTCTGAGTGTAACACTACTCAACAGAAACATAAATTACAGCCTTCAAAATGACCATAATATTTCATAGCCATATAATTCCAACACTCTACACATCTATCATCCATCTAACATCTTTTATGTATCTATAAAATGTTGTAGAGGTCACAACATATTTTTAATGTTACGTGCAGACAATGCATGCAATATCTAAACAAATTTAAGCAACAAGTTTTTGTGTAATATGGCTCTATAGGACAAGATGGACTCTAATCAAAATGGCGACACAGAGGTCCATGGACCTGTGGCTGGCGTTTTTCTGGAGAAAACAAAGGAGAAGATAACCATATATCAAGCCATGAAGAAACGTCTGCTTAAGCCAGGAACAGCATTAGCCCTGCTTGAAGCACAAGCTGCCACAGTGGGCATTGTAGACCCAATAAACCATCGAATACTTCCCGTTGCTGATGCTGTTAAGGAGGGAATAGTTGGACCGGAGATGAAAGAGAAACTCCTCACAGCCGAGAAAGCTGTCAATGGCTATGTAGACCCCTACACCAACCAAATGATATCTTTATACCAAGCTGTGCAAAAAGATTTAGTCCCAAGAGACTATGGATTGAGGCTACTGGAAGCACAAATCGCCACACAAGGCCTGTTTGATCCTATTGAGAAGTCAAATATTTCAGTTGAATCTGCGATTCAAAAGGGCTTCTATGAAAAAGGTTTGCTCAATGATCAGATGTCAGAGCTCAAAGTGTACTACAATCCAAGCTTACAAGAAAATCTTAACTACCGAAGCCTCCTAGAGAAATGCACTTTGGAGCCTGACACAGGCCTGTTCCTCCTTCCCGTTTGCATCACGTTCAAAGGTCTGCGAAGAGGTATTTCCTCCACTGAACTCCTTGAATCAAAGATCATTGACAAAAAAACATTTGATAACCTACAGAGGGGAAATACCACAACACAGGATGTGATGTTGATGGAAACAGTAAAAGAATACCTGCAAGGCAAAGGCAGTATCGCAGGCATTGCTGTACTCTCATCCAATCAGAGAATGAGCATTTATGAAGCCATGAGGAAAGGCGTACTGATGCCTGGGACAGCACTAGTTCTACTGGAGGCACAAGCTTCAACTGGATTCATGATTGATCCTGTAGAAAATAAAAAGTTCACTGTGAATGAGGCCATCAAAAACAAACTTGTTGGCCCTGAATATCATGCAAAGCTGCGTTCTGCTGAGCGAGCAGTAACTGGCTACAAAGACCCATACTCAGGCGAAACTATATCCCTGTTTCAAGCATTGTCAAAAGACCTTATAGTTAAGGAACATGGGATCCGCCTACTTGAGGCACAAATTGCCACAGGTGGAGTAATAGACCCCATCAACAGTCACAGGCTACCAACAGAAGTGGCCTTCAAGAGAGGTTATTTTGATCAAGAAATGAACGCCATACTAGAGGATTCAGGGGATGACACAAAGGGTTTCTTTGACCCAAACACAGAAGATAATCTAACTTATCTTCAGCTGATGCAAAGGTGTGTCATTGATCCCATCACTGGACTGTGCCTCCTCCCTCTCCTTGGTAAGTCAGACAGGCTGAATTTCAACTTCATTGACTACCAAACTAAAATGGCCTTCAAAGAGGAGAAGGTGAACGTGACATGTGGAAAGTACATGGGAATGACAGTATCTCTGTGGGAACTCCTGATGTCAGAATACTTTGATGAACACCAGAGGCAAGACATCATTCAGAAGTACAGAGAGGGGAAGATCAATATCAAGATGATTATCACAACGGTTCTGGAAGTCATAGAAAAGTCAGTGAAAACAACAAATGTTGTCTTTGAAGGCATCAGAGAAACTGTCACAGCCAAACAGCTTATGGATGCAGACATCATTAGTAAGGAGGTTATGGAGGATCTGAAAAAGGGAAAAATGTCAGTGAAGGAAGTGATAGCAGATGAAAATGTAAATGTCTACCTACAGGGGAAAGACAGCATTGCAGGCATTCTGCTTCCCGATTCTCGCATTATGACCATCTACCAGGCCAGACAAAAAGGAAAGCTGATGCCAGGCACTGCTCTGATTCTACTAGAGGCACAGGCAGCAACAGGGTTCATAATTGACCCTATTGGAAACCGGAAGTTTTCAGTGGATGATGCTGTCAAAGCAAAGATTGTGGGGCCTGATGTGTGCCAAAAATTGCGCTCAGCGGAGAGAGCGGTCACTGGGTACAAAAATCCATATGATGGCCAAATCATTTCTTTGTTCCAAGCCATGCAAAATGATCTCATCGTAAAAGACCATGGAATTCGACTTCTGGAGGCACAAATTGCCACTGGTGGAATCATTGACCCAGTGAACAGCCATCGCATTCCTGTCCATGTGGCCTATAAGAAGGGATACTTTAATGAGGAAATGAATGAGATCCTGAATGATCCAAGTGATGACACCAAAGGATTCTTTGATCCTAACACCCATGAGAACCTGACATACTTGCAGCTCCTGGCCAGATGTGTCAGAGATCCCATTACAGGTCTGTGCCTATTGCCACTCAAAAGCAAAAGCAGCCGAATTAACATAGATGATAATATTAGGGAAAAGTTCAAAACAACAACAATTACTGTTAAGTATGGCAGGTTCAAGGGCAAGCACACAACACTGTGGGATCTTATCAACTCAGAGTATGTGACGGAAGACAAAAGACAGGAGTTCTTTAAGCTCTTCAAGTCAAGGAAAATCACAATTGAGCAGCTCATTGTCACCATTGTAGAGATCGTTGAGAGCAAGGAGATAAAACGACAAGCAGGGTTGAGCTTTGCTGGTCTCAGAGGAGAGGTCTCTGTTGTGGATCTTTTGCAGCTTCAAATTGTGGACGAAAAAACATACAACAGTATGGTCGATGGAAAGATGACAAGCACAGATCTGATGAAAATGGAGAGTGTGAGAACCCACCTACAAGGGAAAGGTTGCGTGGCTGGGGTGATACTGCAACCCTCCAATCAGAAGCTAAGCATCTACGAGGCACAGAGAATTGGTGTTCTCACACCTGGTACTGCTCTCTGCCTCCTTGAAGCACAAGCAGCCACAGGGTTCATTGTTGATCCTCTGAAAAACAAAAAACTTACAGTGGAACAAGCTCTCAGAGAGAAGATGGTTGGTCCACAGATGCAAGAAAAGCTTTTGTCTGCAGAGAGGGCTGTCACTGGTTACAGAGATCCATACACAGGTCAAAAGATCTCACTTTTCCAAGCCTTGCAAAAGGATCTAATTGTCAAGCAGCATGGCATTCGGTTACTTGAGGCCCAGATTGCTACAGGTGGTATCATTGATCCTTTGAAGTGTCTTCACTTGCCCCTTGAGGTTGCATACAGGAGAGGATATTTTGATGCAGAACTTAATCAGATCCTATCAGACCCAACTGATGACACAAAGGGCTTTTTTGACCCAAAGACACAAGACCATCTGACATACAAGGAGATGTTGGGTAGATGTGTAAAAGATGAGGAAACAGGACTGTTTCTTCTGCCACTTAATGACAAACCAACAGCTATGGGAACAAAGACAAATATGTCCACTAACACAGAGATAAAGCAAGAGTTTGAAAAGACAGCTGTTAGCATACTAGTAGGACGTTATGCAGGAAAATCAGTTTCTCTGTGGGACTTGATTCACTCTGGGTACTTCACTGAGGATCAGCAGCTTGAATTCTTTGAAAAATACAGAACAAGGAAGATAACCACACAAACCATAATCACAATAGTGATTTCCACTATTGAAAAACTGGAGAATGAAACTCCCAAAATGATAATGGGCCTAAGAAAACCTGTCTCTGCACAACAACTACTGGATTCTGATATCATTGATGCAAATACATTCAAACAGGTGAAAGAAGGAACACTCACTCTTGAGGCACTAATCCAAAGTGAACCTGTGAGAGGATACCTAAGGGGAACTGGGAGCATTGCTGGAATTAAGGTTTATCCATCCCAGAAAGTAATGAGCATATATGACGCAAAAAAAGAAGATCTGTTGACACCTGGCATTGCACTTGCACTGCTTGAAGCGCAGGCTGCAACAGGATGGATCATTGATCCTCTCAAAAACAAGTTCTATGGTGTTGATGAGGCAGCACGAGAGAAAGTAATTGGACCAGATGTACATGAGCAACTTCTCTTAGCAGAACGTGCTGCCACTGGCTATAAAGATCCATACACAGACGCAACAATATCACTGTTTGAAGCCATGGATGAACAGCTGATTAAAAGAAGTGATGGTATTCGTCTTCTTGAGACACAGAAAGCAACTGGAGGAATCATTGACCCGAATCAAAGTCACAGGCTTCCTATTCATGTTGCTATTAAAAAGGGACATCTGGATGAAGAAATAAGAAAAACTCTGTTGAACCCCACTGGTGACGCAAAGGGATTCTTTGACCCAAACACCAAAGAAAACCTCTCTTACCTTCAGCTGATAAAGCGATGTCAGAAAGATCCTGAAACAGGGCTACTTCTTCTACCCCTGTATCAAGAAGAATCCCATGTATTTCACACAGATGAGCAAATTGAGCTTGCATTCAAAAACAAAGCTATCACCATGAATGCAGGGAAATTCAAAGACAAAAAGGTGACATTATGGGAAGTGTTGCTCTCTGAATACATATCAAAACAAAAAAGGGAACAGCTCATACAACAATACAAGACAGGAACCATGAAAATGGAGGAGATCATTGAAATACTCACTGTCATCATTACAGAGGTATCATCCAAAGAAAGAAAGTTCAAAGGACTAAGAAAGCAGGTCTCAGCCAGTGAGTTGTATGAGTCAAAGATTATCTCAAAGGAGCTTTTCGCACAGATTATACAAGGGGAAGTAACTGAAGAGAATGTTAACAAAATGGAATCGATTCAGAAGTACCTTGGAGCTACAAACTGTATAGCAGGTGTCAGAGTTGAGTCTACAAAGAAAGTTATGAGCATCTACGAAGCCAAAACCAAACACCTGCTGACCCCTGGCACATCTCTTGTACTGCTGGAGGCACAAGCTGCAACTGGATTTGTCATCGACCCAGTGAACAATAAGAAACTTTCTGTAGAGGAAGCTGTAGCTCAAAGGGTGGTTGGCAGTGAGTGGGGAAAAAAGCTGCTTTCAGCAGAACGAGCAGTTACAGGATACAAAGATCCTTACACTGGAGACACAATTTCGTTGTTCCAGGCCTTGAAAAAGGATCTCATTGTTAAAGATCATGGAATCCGTCTCCTTGAAGCACAAATTGCCACCGGAGG